TAGATATATTACTACAATCTTTACTTTCATTGTTGTATAATTTAAGTAATGTGGGTTGAGCTCCCAAAATAAAAGAAAATGAGACAGCTTTATTGTATCTTACATCACTTTTGCATACTATTTTAAAAAGCAGAGTTACTTCTAGAGTTATGTTTGGTAAGCTTTGTAAAGAATACAGTTTGTTCGAGCTGCTATTGTGGTATTATAGATATCATTTTTGGGTTTCATAGAGCCAAGACATGCTGTAAAGTTCTGTTTTCATGTAGGTCCATTATCAGGACTTTGTCGGAAAATCCGTGTCCATACTCACCCATCTAAAATGATATAAAAGTTACAAGAATAGCTTTAGTTAGAACATAAAAGTTGGATACCCTCTGGTGGTTTTGTACGTCTTGGCTAACTTAATCTATCTGAACCTTTACCTGAACCACAGAGCTATCTTACTGATTAACATAAACATTTTTAGAAATTCTATCACACCACATTCTTGATGAAGGCGACCTCAAGTTTCAGTGTGTATCTCGTGGTATTACTATATCAGAAAAGCAACGTAGGAACCTTCAACTTTTTCTCTGGCTTTGTCTTGTTCAATGTTTTTGTCTTCTTGATGAGTATTTTTATGTTTTTTTTTACAATGTACTTAGAATGATAATTAAATATAATTTTCTTACATTTTCACTTGTAAAGAATAGAAACCACCGTTTTATTACTTGAGTACCTTTGTTGTTGACAATATTTGGAACTGTAATCTCAATAATGCATGAGGTGAAATCAGCTTAGAAGAGTTAGGTTAGTCCTAAATCTACATATTAAATGGACAATGAAAAATAATAAAAGTACAATAATTAACATTAAAGAAAAGAAAAATTACATCCAAATAAATATTATACTGTATCTGTCAGCTAGGACTACTGTCATAAATTTATATGGAAAAGGTAAGCTTAGTATAATATGACAGTTTTCTCCAATCTTCTCATTAAACTACCTGTACGGTATAATGTCAGGGACAAATAACCATCTGTAGACATTTATTAAGCACATATTACTGTTTAAATTTTGAGTTAGTAGTAGAAAGTTTCCAATAACACAACCAAAAACTAATGATTCCGAACATAAAAAAATTAACTGAAAATATAACAATGTTAAAAATAACATATCAAACATAATATAGCCTGTTTTAATTGTTCATTATTACATTAACTATACCCTGAAGGGAATGCAGAGCTAGCTACAGGAAGTAATAAATACCATTAAGTCTTGTGTAAAAAAAAATCACAGAAGAAACATGATAAGTCTCTAGAAAGTTATATAATAATACTTACGAAGGAAAGATACAACAGACATTAATATGGCAAATAAAATAACCATAAAAACTAATTAATGTGACCAATATCACACTTTACGTGGAACTGTTATATAGCTACTATTAATTATACATAGTAATAATGCTCTGTAAAACTTAAAACCAACAATATGGACCAAGAATATTATTGGATTTTGTGTTTAAATTACACAATGAGAAGCTGTAATTATAAAAAATGAGAGTGCATTCATGAGTTCTATCCACTTTATTGAAAACTTGATTTGTGAAGCTGATATCTAAATCCAGATATTGTGCTTTGTCTTCAGTGAAAGCGCTTTTCGAGAGACTCGTGTATGACAGTGTCATAAAACTGATAATTCTTATGAATAAACACAATACAAACAACTTGTATTACTTCTCATTGTTGACCCACTGATGCACTTTAAGTATTTTTCAGTAAAATATTCTTCATTACATTAAGTTCTGTTCATCTACATTATGAATAACTGTAGTATTTCTTAAGAAATTAAACTTACCATACATAGTACAACTTTACAATTTCTAATCTACCTGTATCTACTGGTTTAATGTCAAGTCCTTGTGTTATATAACACAGTTTAGGATATGTTTCCAGTGTGTAACTGTACGGTTTCTCCTTAAGAGTGTATTCTTTGGAATCATTCACTATCAACTTCTTCACAAACACAAAACAAAACAGTACGGTTAAAGTTGCGGATGTATTTTGTGATTTTCTCAGTACATCCAAAATCACTGCCACATGCAACAAACTTGTAAGTTTTATAATTAGTTTTGGTTTAATTATTGTACCTTAAATCAGATCACCACTTCTTGATTTTCACAGTTTCATGTTTTCTTCTAATCGTGTGTACTTTAATGTGATAACTATGTACTTCCTTGTCACACATACACATCAATCATTTTGTTTTTTCTGTGTGTATTCCATGATGAGTTTTTAGATAAGTTTGTTCTCAACTGTTTACTACACATTAAATAAATGTATGGTTCTCACCAGTGTGTATCATTTGATGAGCTCTAAAGTGTCTTCTCCTTTACATTCTTTGCCCTGATTAACATATGGTTTCTATACAGCATGTATCTTCTGATGCATTTTAAGATTATAATTTTTTGTAAATTTTCTTCCACATACTGTACAACTGTAAGGTTTCTCTCCAGTGTGTACTTTCTCGTGTTTTTTCAACAGACTATTGCTTCGAAATCTTTTGTTACACACTTCACAACTGTATGGTTTTTCTCCAGTGTGTATCCTCATATGGTCTTGTAGGTAGCTATTTGTTACAAACTTCCTTTCACACACTACACAACTGTATGGTTTTTCACCAGTGTGTATCTTCTCATGTCTGTTAAGATGACTTTTACTCCCAAATTTTTTATCACACACTACACAAATGAACGGTTTCTCCCCAGTATGTGTTCTCTCATGTTGTTTTAAATGACTGTTGCTTTGATATCCTTTATTACACACTTCACAAGTGTATGGTTTCTCTTCAGTAGGTGTTGTCTCATGTTCTTGTACACAGGTATTGTTATAAATTCTTCTGTATTCACAAACCAATTGTATGGTTTTTCAACAATGTGCACATTCTCATGTATTTTTAATTGACTAATGTCTTCAAATTCTTTTCCACACACAAAACAATTGTAAGGTTTCTCTCCAGTATGTAGCTTCTCATGTCTGCTAAGATGACTTTTACACCCAAATTTTTTATTACAAACTCCACAACTGTATGGTTTCTCCCCAGTGTGTACTCTTTCATGTTGTTTTAAATGACTACTGCTTCGATATCCTTTATTACACACTTCACAGTTGTATGGTTTCTCTCCAGTGTGTGTCATCATATGGCTGTTAAGATGGCTTTTACTCACAAATGTTTTATCACAAACTACACAACTGTATGGTTTCTCCCCAGTGTGTACTCTCTCGTGTATTTTTAACTGAGTATTGTTTCGAAATCCTTTATCACACACTACACAAGTGTATGGTTTCTCTCCTGTGTGTATCCTCAGATGTCCTTGTAGACAAGAATTTGTTCCGAAACTTTTCCCACACACTAAACAACAGTATGGTTTCTCTCCAGTGTGTATCCTTATATGTGCTTGTAGACAGGCATTCGTTCTAAATTGTTTGTCACACACTTTACAATTGTATGGTTTCTCTCCAGTGTGTATCCTCAGATGTTTTTTTAAAGTACTCTGTGTTACAAACTGTTTGCTACACAATCCACAACTGTACAGTTTCTCTCCAGTGTGTGTCCTCAAATGTGTTTTTAAGTTACTATTTGTGACAAACTGTTTCCCACACACTACACAACTGTACGGTTTCTCTCCAGTGTGTATCCTCAGGTGTATTTTTAAATCTCTACTTGTTACAAATTGTTTTCCACATACTACACAACTATGAGGTTTCTCCCCAGCATGTACTCTCTCATGTTGTTTTAACAGACCATTGGTTCCAAATCGTTTATCGCATATTACACAACTATACGGTTTCTCTCCAGTGTGTGTTCTGGAATGGCTATTCAGTTGACTTTTACTCACAAATGTTTTATCGCAAACTGCACAACAGTATGGTTTCTCCCCAGTATGTACTTTCATGTGTTGTTTTAACTGACTATTGCTTCGATATCCTTTGTCACACACTACACAAGTGTATGGTTTCTCTCCAGTGTGTATCCTCATATGTATTTTTAAATAGCCAGTTGTTATGAACTGTTTACCACACACTGCACAACTGTACTGTTTCTTCCCAGTGTGTGTTCTCAAATTAAATTCCAGATGACTATTTTCCAGCTCCTTGCCACTGTATAATTCAGCTTCACTATGGGAAATGCTACCATCATTTTCCCTCAAAAATGATTCATCAGACATGTTAACATCACTTGGGTTCAGGGATTTGTAATTTTTTGACTTTGAAAAGAGAGATCTTTGTGTTACAACATCATATTCAGGAAACTGCTTTCCACGATAGTTGTTCATGTATAAATCTGGATCTGTAATCAGAAAAATGCATTTAAAAATATTTTATTGTTTTATTGCCCTATGAACCATGTCTTAACTAATAATCCCACCACACAAGTTAAAAATCACTTTGCGTATGTGTAGCTCACATTTTCACATCAAATTACGCAAAGCACAAGCTGCTCACGAGCATATCTCATGAAGAATTTTATTAATATTATTATTTTTTCATTATCTTACCTAATAAATAAAGAGTACATAAAAAAACTAATCTATTATTTATCTTGATAGGCTTGTTTTTTGCCGTCAACTGTTGATGAAATTTAAACCTACTTTTTTTATATTAATGGTACTACTACATTAATAAATTCTCCCTTTATCAAATAATGCACCTAAGAACACGGAATAATAACACACACAAAGCAAACAATGTCCTATAACTATCAAAATTTATCTGGCTTTCTAACTATGCAATAAGAGCTAAGCTTGTTGATGTGAATAGTTTGAGAAAAAGTTTCAAACTGAAGGCAAAATAAACAAAGCTGTGTGCAGAAAACAATGTGCTATGTCATTTGATAGATTAAAACTTCGGCTTTCTATTGGTTATAAATAATATAGAGAGAGAACTATTGGCAATTTGTGATAGGTTGGTCTGATTTTCTAGTTTATGGCCCCATAAACAAATAAGGCTATAAGAAGTATACTTTGCCTTAGTAAACTCTACATCACAATGAGCAATTTGTGTTAAATTGTATACTTCTCAGAGGGGTGGTCAGAACCAGAGAACAAATATCAAAATTGTCACACTAAGTGAGATTGAGGATTTTTTAAAATATTCCTTATTAAATTAAAAACTTGTATAATATTAGAATTTGATTCGTTAACTGTGTTTTGATGCCAAGTTTATTCATATAATAAATATGATGATAAAGCAGTTTTATTAAATTTTTAAATGTAACACTAGTGAGAGGGGTAATGGTGTCCAGAATGTTCTATTTTATACACTCATCAAGATATTTATTTTGATAGATTATTTTGTTAATTGCAACAGTCACCACTCCTGGCTATAAATTGTAAAAACAACAGCAGAAACTGATAGATTTGTCTGACCTACGATTTGATCATTCAAAATACTGATAGGTCAGACCGGGTAAGAATATTTTATTAATAATATACTCGATCAAAATAAATTCTTATCTGATAAATATACTTTCTTTTCAATAAATCATGATTTATTTTATTTATGTGCCATGTTTGCCACAGCCTATCGTACCCTCTATACCCAATATTTACCCGATATCTTACAATACATAAATTACTTATTTTACTACTTTGATCACTTTACATCGACATAAAATGTATACACTATACTTTATCAAACAGTACTTAAACTTTGTCTGTAAACTAGTTTTAAAGATGAGTTTCATTAGTAGATGTTCAATCAGATGTTATGTGATCATAAAAGTGTGGGAATCAACAGGATTAAAATTCAGAATAAGAGAAGAAAAATCATGTCAAAAATAAAAACTCGACAAATATATTTTCAAGGGATTATAGTATCTTAGCAACTTTAAGTTTGCGCTTTCAAACAAATAAAAAAAATTCTACAAAATCTATAAATGTATTATTTACAGGTAAGACTCCTGAATTTACTTATTGTATCCAAACAAAATTTGGTAAGATTTCTAGAAAACAATTACAAGTCTATTGTATACACACACACACACAAAAAAAATCAGTATTTTTGATAATGTATTTCTACTAAATACTTGTCTGTGAACTTACAAAGCCTTTACTTATTCAGTCTGACTAAAAGATGATTTTCATGATCAGTCACAGTAAATAGTCCAGCCAAAAAAGTTAATATTCAACCCAAGTCCCAGTTGGGACAACACCTGGGAATTCCAGTAGTAGAAGATGAAAGGCTCAGGAAATGTCTTTAAATAATGGGAATAGAAAGGATTGATGCCTTTTAATGCATCGGAAAGTTATAACCAAGGCAGCTCAGTAAACACTTTTGAAAGAAGCCGATAAGCTACATTTATATAACAAGTACAAAAAGAAACAAATAATTTGTTGGAGTTGGAAATAAACAAAACACAACATAACTAGTGCACTAACTCTGAAAGATGGGATATTTACACACTAACAAATGTGGAGAATTGAACCCTGAACTTTTAAGTTAATAAAGTTATCTCTGACCCACATTTGAGGTTGTCGTAACAGGGCTGGTTCCCCATAAGAAAACTGATCTTGGAAGGATGAAGGAGGATGTCAATGAAGTAAGTTCTCCCAAGACTGACTCAAGGAATCCATGGCAAGAGAATTTACATCTTGAACTGGAGATCAATAGACTGGAAAAAGATGGATAGTGAGTAAAGTGAAAGTATCTTTCATTGAATGACCCATATATTCAAATATTCCAGTGAAAAACTAAAGGATTATATCCTTTAAGAAGACAGTGACGACCTCAAAGAAATAGCCACAACTTGACACGACTGAAGATAAACATCTTGAAAACCAAACCAAAGATGTAGGGACACGGAAGATGTAGACAAAGGAATCCAAGAACTAGAATTATATTGATTTTCCAATACAGCAAACCAGCCCTTGAGAGAGGTATCCATGAAAAGATAAAGGGCTAAAGAAAGATGAAGAGTATGAGATCATGCCATTGTGATAATAAGCCTGAAGTCGGACATCCCTGAGGAGCAAGGTCCCATCAGAGGTGATGAAAGTGAGTGCCCCATAATTAAGATAATTTACTATTCACTGTATTTGGTATTGTAGATTTGTAATAGCATTTTTGATACAAGTCACTAGATAATTCATGAAGAGTGGCCATCATCCTCAAAGAAGAAAAGATGCCTTTCATAACAGGAATAGAAGACAAAAATGAATGAACACAAAACTTGTAGGCTTGTAATTCATGAAGAGTGGCCATCATCCTCAAAGAAAAGATGCCTTTCATAACGAGAATAGAAGACAAAAATGAATGAACACAAAACTTCTAGACTTGTAATTCATGAAGAGTGGCCATCATCCTCAAAGAAGAAAAGATGCCTTTCATAACAGGAATAGAAGACAAAAATGAATGAACACAAAACTTGTAGGCTTGTAATTCATGAAGAGTGGCCATCATCCTCAAAGAAAAGATGCCTTTCATAACAGAATAGAAGACAAAAATGAATGAACCTTACAAGTCTAGAAGTTTTGTGCACTACAGGAAATGGCTGAAGAGTTACTCAAACTTTTTCATTAAACAACTAATGAGAATCAAGTACTATATTCATACTAAATGGGACCCAGAGTTGTGGGTTATCTACACAAGAGATGTGGTCAGTTGAATCGGCAAATAAGTGTATGTAAGAGACTTTTTGAGAGTAGGAGTCAGAAAAAAAAGTCAATCATCTATATACGAGTGAAAGTCAATGTTAAGGTAATGGCGAATACCAGCAAACTCTTTAAATCCTAGTAAAAAACTGAAGGGAATGGCAGTTGACAGACAAATGATTCCTCTAGTGTCAAAAATGATGACAAGGATGGATTAATAGGAATAAGAATATAAATACCATGTAGATCCACCTTTTAATCCAGTGGAATTTCCTGAAACCCATATAACTCAGTGAAAGTAGAAAATTGAATGATAGATTGGGTTTCATATTTACATAAAATACTTGTAATCAGAAGCATCACCAAACAAATCCAACATGACTCTAGATTAAACCATAAAGACAAGTCTGTGTTATAAACGTTATTCTATAAAAACTGTACATTATTAAACACTGGTGTTTTTCCACTAGTATATGTACCACAATAAAGTTAGCGGATATAGTTCTTAAAATTTACACTCACCTGATAAACTTTCCATCCCAGAGATAACTTGTTGAAAATCATTTTCTGGTTCTTTTTCATTTTTCAAACTCACATCAACATACTCTGAACAATCTAGAACTCCTTCTTCGTCACTCTCACCGAACTTTGAAGTGCTGCCATCCTGTGTTGAATCACTACTTTGTTCAATTTCTACATCAACAAGGATGTTCTAAAATAAAAAAAAAGATAAATTATAACTAATGTTGTCAATAAAAACTTATTTTTCAACTTTAATTTCACTGTACAAAGATGATTTTACCAAAGTTAATGTTAGGGTTGAGAGAAAAAGACATTAATTATAAAGTTTTACCCCCCCCCCCCGACTATCCATTTAGGAGGTTCTAGATGATATAAAATAAATATAAAAGTGTAAGATAAAAAGTATTTTCTATTCATAACATTAACACCATCTTTCACTTACTGACTTAGTAAATGGTCAGTAAGTTCACAAACAAATACCATCTTTCACCTACTGACTTAGTAAATGGTTAGTAAGTTCACAAACAAATACTATCTTTCACCTACTGACTTAGTAAATGGTTAGTAAGTTCACAAACAAACACCATCTTTCACTTACTGACTTAGTAAAAGGTCAGTAAGTTCACAAACAAATACCATCTTTCACCTACTGACTTAGTAAATGGTTAGTAAGTTCACAAACAAACACCAATTTCACTTACTGACTTAGTAAAAGGTTAGTAAGTTCACAAACAAACACCATCTTTCACTTACTGACTTAGTAAAAGGTTAGTAAGTTCACAAACAAACACCATCTTTCACTTACTGACTTAGTAAAAGGTTAGTAAGTTCACAAACAAACACCATCTTTCACTTACTGACTTAGTAAATGGTTAGTAAGTTCA